AAAATTTATGAAGTTGGTATTAATTAAAATTGGTGGCAGCGAATATGAACTTTTTTGTGGATCATTATATATGGCCAAAAAATTACTTGAATTATTGAATTAATTCGTTAATTTTGTAGCATATCAAAAATGTTACAAATTATATAAACAAGATAATGTACTAAGTTTTTAAAAAAACAATTGGCTATCGATAATAAAATATGTTTATGTCAAATTTTCAAATTCAACAACTCAAAAAAGAATTTGTAATACTCCATTATCTATACAATCCAAATTATTAAATGGAAGTATTAACTGATCAAAATTAATTTTTTTTTATGCAACTATTTGGTAGCAATTATTTCAGATGTATCAAATTCGAATTTTGAATCTAATCTTTAGTACTGAGCAAATTGATCAAACACTAATAAATTGTTATGTGATATTTATGATGGCAATATTTGGAAAACTTTTAAAAATAGAAATTCTAGTTTATTTTTTAATAAAGAAACAGTCAATTTGCATTTAGGATTGGTATTGAATATTGACTGGTTTCAACTATATAATAACAAAATGCATAGTACTAGTATTATATGTGCAGCTATTGCCAATTTGCTATGCGATATATGCTTTAAGCAAGAAAATATACTGATTCTTGATATATTACCAGGTCCTAATAAATTAAGCTTACACAAAATAAACTACTATTTTATATTAATTGTTGATGAATTGATGCAACTATGACAAGAAATAATATTAGAATCAATTGCCAAAAATAAGAAAGAAAGAATAATTTGAGTGGCTTTAATTTTAGTTTTATGTAATATTCCTGCAACATGCAAAGTATATAAACACATTTTGACACTAGTATCTTGTCACCATTGTAAAAAAAAAGCTAACTATATGGATAATCAACATAACTTTGGTGGCATAAAAAATATAAATGAATGGTTTATAATAAAAGATTTGACAACACATATATAAAATACTATCAAATAGAGAAATTGCAATATAAATATGGCACGAAAGCATTTTGTCAATAAGAATCTAGCTAGATGGTTCAAGCTTCTTCACTTATCTTATTTTGATTCTATTTGATATTTGATTATCGATCCAATGCATTGTTTTTTTTTAGGTATTAGTAAATGGCTTGTTAAATGAATATGAATTGAAGAAGAGATATTAACAAATAATATATTAGATGAAATACAAGCAATAATAGAAATTTTCAAGTACTATCTGTCATTGGCCAAATCCCAAAAAAAATAAATTGTGGAGAAGGCTTTTCAAACTTTACTGCCAACCAATGGAAAAATTTTTTCATAATATAAGTGACTATTGTTTTATGAAAATATCTTCTGGAAATTAATCACCAAATATTAATTAATTTTGTCAAAATATGTTAAATGTTAGTATGCTAAATCATAAGATGAGAACTATTAAACAAAGCTTCTGAAAAATCAATAACAATGATTAAGTTAATTGAACAAAAATATGATAAAGAAAAAATTATGTTGAACCTTTATCTTTTTTTACATCTATATGAATATATGCATAATTATAGGCCATTGTATGTTTTTTAATATTTTTCATTTGAATAAATAAATGGTTTGTTAGGTAGGTTTTTTTATAATTAATATTTATAAAATAATATTCTAACAAATTTTAAATTTAAATTAAAACTCTCACCCGTTCACCACTGATTTTTTGAAAATTTCCTTTTTAGGAAATCTTCTTCCAAGAAGCATCTCACTTTCTTTATTCCCTAAAGCAATAAGCTTTAAATCCAAAGGACATAAAGACTTTAAGGAACACTGTTGCATTGAAATGGGACCTCTGGTCAAGACTTAAGCAAGTTGGGAGTCTTTCTTAGCTCTTGGTTGCATGGGGAAAAACCCATGGCAACCTTCCTTCATAATTTTTTGTCTTTAGGTACCTTCCTTTCTATGATCATGATAATCGCTTTTTCCTTCATCTTTCTCTCTCTACAATACAAATTCAATCTTAACAACACATTCAAACATAGTTACTGGGTCTAATGTTTGTCTTAACACAACCTTTGCAAATTATTTTTTTTATTTTTTTTCTTCTTCTCTATCTAAATATCAATACTACGTCATATTCCTACACTTTTCCATACTCTTTTCAAATCTACTCAAAAAATCAAAATCAGTTTCTCCCCATTCAAAGATCTACACTCTATAAACGATCAATAAAATTTCTCTATCCTTAATAACAATACCAAACCTGTTCATACTCATTTACAACCAGTCTTCTTTTAACAAAAAATTCCCACACCTAACAACAATACCAATCATAACAATACAACAATATTGACAACAAAAATGATACAACCAATTAAATTTCTACACTCTTTTAACAACAAAGCCAAACCTGTTCAAACACATTTTCTAATCAGTTTTCTCACCAAAATATTCACATGCCAATAATAACAACAATAATAACAATAATAACAACAATCACAATTAACTGATAACATACTGGATTGGGAGAGTGCATGACTATGCCCTGTGTGGGTTCCAGTATTCTATAATCAAACAAGCACCAAAATAACACAAGATTGGAGCAGGCTTCATATCCGACTTACTATCACCTCAACTATACTACTAATTTACAAACCTCCTAACTTTCCACAATTATCGTTAACAATGGAGTTGCGATCCACGAGCAGCAATGCTACCGTTAAATAAAAAAGGCAGCCTAAGCCTAACCAATGTAAATGAAAGGGAAATACTTTCATTGCAAGTGAAAGTGAAATACCAGGGAGTTGCGCCCCATAATCTGGCAGCTTAAGCCAGTGCTCCTCTACTGCTGCTGGAGTTGCGCCCAGCTATCAAAAATGAAGCTTTGACCTAGGTAGACACATTTGGTTTGTGCCCTGCAGGAGGGATTGTTAACACAAAAGATAATTGCATTCAAAACCCAATACTCACCATTACCACTTTAACAATTTTTCATCCCTAATTTCTTAACTATATGCGGTTTCAGGGAGTGATTAACCTTGACTTCAAACTTAACGTATATAGCAACTTCACGTCAAAAACTCTCAACCTTCAACTTTTAATATCCTCACATTCTTTTACTTACATTATGGCAATCTTTCCTCACAAATTTTTATATATAATTTATTCTATCCTTATATGTAGATAGTTCTTTTCTTACTTTTTTTCTGCTCAAGGATTTTTTTATTAGAAATATATCTACTACAATAGGTGGTAGACTAATATGTACAATTTTGTTTATATATCTTATATCTTAAAATTAACCATGTAATAATAATAATTACACATTAATAAAGATAATGAGACATGTTTCACCTTAACATTAAAAAAAAAAAACAAATTTTAAATTTAGGATTGTTATCTAATAGTTATTAAAATATTGAGTCCGAACTAATGCAAAAATTGATAAATGACTGCCAAATTATTAATCTAACCACATCTTATTATAATAATATAGAACTCAAAATCTTAAATAATCAATCAAATATTGGATCAATTTTTAGCAGGCGAACTATGCTGATTCTTAAACAACATATATAATATTCAAGAAACAGTTATTAATGGATCTGAACAATTTCCTGACAAACTATTGTATTCTGAAAAATTAAATTTAATTGTATCTTCCAAAATCTTGCATTTATTAGTCAAATATTATGAAGCTTCTTATAAAACTATGAATTTTCAAAGACTATTTGTTGAAGATATTAATAATAATTTAATAATTGTTCAAAATAGAGCCAATTAATATGGAAAATGTCAAATTGAAAGCAAAATCTTTGATTCTATTATGTCACTACGAAATATAAAAGGTTCATTTTTTTAGCCCGATTTGTAAATCATAATGGAAGTGTCAATTTATACCTGAAACAAGTTCAATTTTTTTCACTTATTTGATCAATTTATCAAATAATGTAGCAAAACACAATTTGGCTTTTATTTGATAGTTTAAACCTATTAATTTGGCAAATATCAGGTTCTATTTTGGATTTGAAAATAATGTAAATGTTGAATTATAAAGTATCAAATTTATCTGTTTAAATGTAAATATATAATTCCTATTTACAATATTTTTAGCCGATTTATTCTATTTAAATATAAGATTTCAAATAGACAAGATTTTCATAAATATTTAGCTATTATTCTTTTAAATCACAAATACAATATATAAAATTTTATTGAAACATATATAATTTGGCAAAAATATATATATGGCAAAATAATATAATTCAACAAAGTAGTATAATTTAGCAATATATATTTGGTAAGATAATATAATTTGTTATTTGATGCAAAAAATAAATTATTTATTTTACTGTCAAAATATTAACTTCTTTAAAATAAGATTTATAAAAAATGCATCATTTAAATGTCAAATAAATTATATGCTGCTTTATAACTGAAGACAAAAGTTATATAAATTTGATTAGTCAAATTATATACTTTTTTGATAAATGATTGACGAGTGGCATTATGTCGTATATTCAATTGTCTTTATTTAAGATTAAACTAATATCTTGTAATTTGAATCTAAAAGTATTATATATATGCATAGTTTTATAAATATATAAGTAATTGTAAAGATTATTTACAAGTTTTAACCTTATTGAAAGACTTAGAATCTTAATTCTATTCAATAGACAAAAAATTCTTTATCTTATAAATCACATCTAAAGTCTTGTGTTGATAAATAAGCTAAATTAAATAGATTTATACATATGATTTAATAAACATGGGATTCCAGGTTAAAAATAATTGATTTATATAATTAATGTTTATTCTATTTATAATAACCTGATCAAGAATTTACAAAATTTTTTACATACAGTATATTATAACAAACCCAATTTATATTTATACATCAGTTCAGGACATTGACTATTGTTAAAAAAATTTTTTTGTGTAAAATTGTTATCAAAAAATCCCAATGTTTTAAATATTGAACATGAACAATTAAATACTATTTTTCGATTAAGTATACATTTCGATTCAAGTAATTTTCTATCTCTCCAATAATTCTCTAAGCATATCGTTTATAACTGGTAATTTATCTGCAGGCTTGGGTGTTGGATTGGAAGAACCTTCACCATTATTAACATCATTTGATTCTGAATCTTTACCTTTTCTCCTCCTCAAGCCATCAGGATTTTGATTAGTAGGTTGTATTTCTATTCCCCTTTTTCGATCAATCGTCTCCACCATCCGTTGGAATTGAAGAAAGAGAGTCTCAGCACGTAATAGCGTTTCATCAATGGGTATCGTCATTGACAAATCGTTTACATACTAAGTAAAGAAAGTAAAGAATATGATCAAATGATGATCGAAATTTAACAATACATGATGGTGGTTTAGTACCTTGAGGATTTCATCAAATTGATGTAGATATTCGATTATGACCATTCTATGCTTATCCATGATGGCCAAAGCAACAAACAAGTGAAATTGTTTACAAAAGTAATCTGACCACAGGACCTCCCATAAATGCAACACTTCGTCCCACTTGAATTCTCGCTTGAACCATATCAAGATCCATCGAAAACAGAAGAAGAGATTTAGTGCCTCGGTCTTCTCTGCAAGAAAAAAGAATCATTTATTATGAATTTCTTACTGTGTATCAGCTAAAATTTTTACTTACGAAGATGATTATATAAACGTGGGTCCATAAATTGAATTAAATGGTTGAGTGTCAGGAGTTGATGTCGCATACCGCTTTGATCACGGTAGAAATTGTATTTCTATCAAAAAGAACAACAACAAATCATGATGCGACATATTTAATAATAAAATAAGAGTTTCGTACAAAGAAGTTACTCATACCATTCGGTCCATGAATCCTACAAAAGCCCAAAACGCCAACACCTCATCATTCATGACGACAAACAAGGGAGCAAGCAAATCGCTCATTCCTTGTACGTATCCTACAAATAAAATAATAATGGATTTAACAATAAGATTGCAATGACCGCAAGAAAAATTGAACTAACCAAGATCCTTATTATAAAAATTATAGGTCATTAAAATATCTTTCATTGATTCTAGATTTTTATTGGTGAAATTTGATGATGCAGATGATAGTGGATCTGGGTGTGGCATGTCTTCGACAGCAAAAAATTCCATACTTCGATCGGTCCGAATCACGTCCTTTTCTAGATTATTTTTTATGAAGTTAAATAAAAAGAAATAAGATAGAGCAAAAACAAATTAATAAATAAACCTATTCGAATCTTCTGTTCTTTGAATTCATCATCGTTTTGTGCTTCAATCGAATCAAACCATTTTCGTTTAAGTGCCCAATATTCCTGTCTGTTAAATTATGCCAAGGGTAAATGACACAGTAATTTATATGAACAACGTCAGTGGAGATTCAACGTAATCTAAAAGAAAAACCAAATAAAAATCAAGCAGTGCTGATGCATACGCTTTCGCATCTAGTATATTCTCTCTCTCAACTTGGCTAGAATTCCATGGATACACTCCCAAAAAAAACTTCCATACTTCGACGCGAATATCATTTTCAATTCCCTGTCAATTCAAATGTAAACCATCAATCATTATAAAATAAAATCTTTAGAAGGAGATATCACTTAGCAACTTACTCCACGAAATACCGCTTCTCTTACTTCATCTATTTCGACCCGAAGCCTCCCTTCTGCATCAAAGAATGAGAACCATCTTTCGGCATTCAGAGGATCAGTGCGTCTAGCGTGCAAGGGGGGCAATTTCGTTTCATTCTATTCAATTTTTGGAGAGCATTACAATTAACACAGTTTAGTAGGATCACGAGAACTTTCAATGGGTTTACATACGTCCAAAACTTCAAAAGCTCCGACTTCCGTCTCCTCCTCCCACGGTTTAGGTTCACTATCAGACCATCGCCTTTTCCAACTTTCGTCCTCAGCGTTTTCGTTAGGATGTTCCATTCTGTGCGCCTCCTCTGCTTGCTCAGCAACACTCGCTGCCCATTTGGCTAGATAAACTCTTCCTGCGTCGTATTCACACACCACAGAACGAGTAGGCTCTACCTGTATAAGATTATTTATTGCAGGTGGAAGGTGTGGAAGGATAGGACGCGCAAGTGGATGTTCTAGAATAGTTGCTGTGACAAAATGATATCGATTTAAATTCTTGAAAGGCTTGTAAACTAAATAAACCGATTTCACTTCATACCCGCAGTTTCTCGAGAAAAGCGAGCAACTTTAGAAAAACTTTCATATACGTTCCAACGTATCTAACGAAAAATATAATTATGTAAAATAACTATGAAAGTTAAATGAATTATTATAAATTAATACCTCTTCTAATGGATCCATATGAATCGTTTGCAGTGTTCTTTGTTTCTTTTTTTATAGGGCCAAGATTCAAATTATGTGTTGTTACACTTGATCGAATTAACTTTTTTAATCAAGAAATCTAAATATCTACACAATCGTCGATCATTGCGTAATTCGTGACAATGTGTGTTGCTGTTATTTTATTTTTCAGAAATTTGAACTCCGAAATTTTTTGATCTTTTGAGGGATTTTTTGAGCGCATTATTCCAAACAATAATTTATTTCTTAAAATCATCATATTATAATTTGATTTGGATAACATCAACATTACAGATTGCATATACTGTACATACGTGCGCACGTTACTGCGCTACTAGCATTAGAATCACGTGAGTAAAGTTTTTATAAAATTGGGTTAATCTTTTTCTAACCATGTAAATTCTCATTTCAATCGTTTTTTAATGTCTTGTAATATGATGTTCGTACGAAATGCCCGGTTAGCTCAGTTGGTAGAGCGTGAGGCTTTTAACCTTAAGGTCGTGGGTTCGAGCCCCACACCGGGCGCAAAAATTTTTATTTTTATTTTATTTTTATTTAGAAGCATCAACATACCGGTTGAATTCAATATGAACATATGAACATTGATAATCTTTGAAGATTTTATTACCATAATTTCATAATTTCATACAAGTTTCAATTGTACATATGATTAACTACCTTAAAGACCTTAAATGTATTTTCTAGGTTCTAAATTAACTTATTTTTCAGCTTCTTTCTCGAATGATTTCTTCCGATTTTTATCCGCACCTTCTATCATTTTTGCCATCAAATTTGCTGCTTGACCTCTATTCAGCTTCTTTAATACCTGATCGTCCAGTGATATTTTTTTCTTTAAAAACTTCATCTGTCGATCTGTTATTTGCTCTTTTCGCCATTTAGCGTGCCACAATGCTGGTGAAACGACATTTTTATCCTGTCTTTCTACCCAATGATCACATGAACGTATAACAGACTCTAGCGAGTCATGCGTAATTGGTAAGCTGACGAAAAAAGTCATAGGAATTGGCTTGTTTTTTATCATTTTGATTTCTCGCTTACGCAATCTAACGCGATATAGTCCTTAAGGAATTTGAATGCAAGCATAATATTATTTTAATTCTAGTCAAAGAAAGAATCTTATAACTTGCAAAAACTGTGTATCTTACCGTCATTTTCTTTTTCCACTCTTAAATTCCCGACGTAAAGCAACGGTAATACATAAGAATCATCTCCTATCTTAATCCATGAAAATCTAGATATTCTTCTGATGTTTAAGGCACCAGAACAAGCTTCAATAAGTTCAACGGGATTGTCATATTCGGTAATTTTAATTTTTTCTATGTTCGGAAATTCATATTGAAGCTCTAGCTTCGGCTCACTCGGCTCACTCGGAATTCTTTGTATATCCTGATCTATATCGATATAAGAAATTATTTTAGAAGAATCAGAATTATCGAACAGAACACATAAATGTACAAACCTTTCATCTCGGTGTCAGATTTCAGTCCTAGTAAAGATGGAACAGTAACTAAATCCGGAAAATGGACATATGAATCAATAAAATCCAAAACCAAGCAATCTTCTTTTCCTTCAGCAAGGCGCATTCCACGTCCGATCATTTGTTGAAAGAGCACCGGCGATTTCGTTGGACGACTCATGATAATACAATCAATATTAGGTATATCTGCTCCTTCTGTGAAAATCCCTATGTAAATAGAATCTATCAACGAAATGATTCTAGTTTAGGTTACTCTGAATAGTAACAACGATTCATACCACAATTAACCAAAACTGGAAACTTCATTGATTTAAAGTCATTCAATATTTCTGAACGTAAATGTTTCTTAGTTTTACTTGTTATGGAGGAAGCCGTGATGCCAAATTCCTGGAACGTCTCCTTGAGAGCTTCCACATGCTTAATGTCCACGCCAAACACAAGAGTCGATTTTCTACTTTCTAATATAGTAGAAAATTATTATTTCAGTTCTTTTATCACATGTACATTTAAAATCATTTACCTGCCAGTGCGAGATATGTGCGTGCAATCATTTCATTGCGTGGTCGCACATTGACATATTTAGAAAGATCGCTTTCTATAAAGTCTGCATTGTTACTTTTGACGTTGGACAAGTCAAAATCGGTTTTAACAGTCGTCACTCGAAGATTGCATAGCCTAAGCTAATTTGTACGTAAATAGACGCAATAATAATGCATCGCATAATCGACCAGTAATGAAATATGCACCATTTTTCATTTATCATATCCAAAAAGTCCCTGTGGTAGGATATTTCATCGAAAATCTCTCCCAACGCAACTCCATCGTTCCTCCGAACCGTTGCCGAACACCCCCATATAAACATGTGAGTATCTTTATTGGTTGCGCCAAAGTATTCTAATATTCTACGATAAGTATTCGCTGGAGCGTGATGGGCCTATTCGCACAATCAATTGGTAAATTATGTTTAACTTGATAAAAATTTATTAGTGAAGAAATTCGTGCATCACCTCATCGATGATAATAGCTTTGAAATTGGATGGATCATATTTTTTGATGCGATCTGAATCTGTCCTTCCTAGTGTCTGCACACTTCCGATAATAACATTGGCATTTCCTATTGCATTCCTTTCCCCTTGATCTATTTCCAATGTCTGTTATATAAGTTTAATACAAGTAAAATAACTTATTATAAACGTGGTCTGATTTGTGTGTTAAATTACAACATACCAAATCTGGTGAGAATTTACTAATTTGCCTATACGCTTGATCAAGGAGTTCTTCTCTGTGAGCTAGTACGAGAACTTTATCTGCGCCTGGATAGGGTGGGGGAATGTTTCGGATTAAATTTGAAAAGATAACCTATGATAGTGAAATTTTAAAATTCAGTATTTGATATCAAAGTGATCACTTGGTACTTCGTAAGTGATTCAAGTTACCGTTTTCCCACTTCCTACGTGTAAAAAAGACGTTTTGATTAAATCGGTGTCAAAATTCTCGCAAAATATCTCATTTCCCAAAATTGATTAATGGATCTTACCTACAGGTAAAGATACGATCTGACGCTTTACCTTGTCTTCTAGAAATTTGCGTAGGCAAGTTTCGATGCATTCCTGTTGATACGGGCGTAAGGTTGATTGCGATTGTTGTCTTGTACCTTCACACGTGAGGCCCTCAACTGACTGTTGAATCTTACAAGCTACATCGCTATAATGCTTAAACCCCTTTCCAATACAAAAATCTCCTTTGAAATAACCGAAACGCGCTCTGTATGAACTTGATAATGATAGAATAGGCACGCGTCTCATCATACAATGCAGAATGAGCGAGATTTTCAATCATGTGCCCAATCCATGGTTTTATTGGTTATTGTCAGAATTTTTTACGTCAATGCATTGTATACAGAAATTTACTTTCTTAAAAGTTAATTATTTTTTTAGATAGCAAAACACCCATCAATAAGTCAATAGATTTATATATAATTCTTGAATTCTTAATATCAAGATTATTATTTGTTTTTTTTTTTAAGAGGCAAATTATACAACGATGCATATTTTTTATTGATACTTAATATCTAAATCATATATCAAATGTCTTTTAAGTATAGTTATTTTTGTATTATTTATACACCATTTGTATCTTCTACATAAGTAGAATTAACACTGCCTATTGATTATTACTAGTGATAGTTAACTTAATCTATCTCTAATCCAGCTATACAAACTTGCATTATGTAAGTGGATCCATATATCAGGTGGAATTATTTTAAGAGATGGAAAGTTTTAATATTAGTTTAAATTTACCTAAATCCATTAGTCTGTCTAAGTCATTAGAAGTATATATTTTTTAAAATTAATTTGAACATTGGAATAATCTGTTTAATACTTTTTACTTGAAACTTTAAAGAGTATTGTTATTATTATCTATGGTTTCCATTTATATAATAGATTATTTAATTTTCTTTTAAGCAAATATCAAATTGAAATAGTCTCAAACTAGAATATTTTTTGTATTATAGAATCTGTCATGTCAAGAAAGGTTGTAAGTTTTTATAAAAGTTAAACCAAAAGTTTTATCTTATATAATCTTTTTTATTTTAATCTATTTTTAATTTATGATTGTTAAAAAAATCAAAGATTCCATTTTCATATAGCCTAATTGAATTTGATTAAGATCTGGATATTTGAATATTTCATATATAGAAAAACTAATAAATCTATATACAAATAAAATTTTTGCTTTTGCTTTTAAAGTATTAAACTAAAAATATATATTTGAAGACTTGAAAGTATTATTCATTATTATAATTCTAAAAATTGAAATTGAACAGACTTATATAAACTTGCATAAGATTCAAAACATTATTAAAAATAATATTAAAAATAATATTAAAAATAATAATGAGTTATAATTTATATAGTAAATTTAATATAAACCTAAAAATTAATAATCAAATCAAATCAAATTGTTAAGATCCTTATCTATTATATTATAAACTTATAGATCAATATCAAGATTATTATATTGCTTATATAATTTAATTAATATTATATAATATTAACTATTAAGACTTTTAATTTTTTATAATTGTTTTTTTTTAGGCAAATAATAATATATATATATATTTTTAAAAAAGTTTTATTCTAATTTAATAATATATTTTTATTATCAATTATTTTGAAAAATATTTAAATAATAAAATTATATAATATAAAATTATTTTAATAATAAAAGTTTTGTTTTTTTTTGCGAGGCACATCTCAAATTGTAATCTTTATTAATTGTTGATTCAATTTTTACAAAGTTAATTAAGTATAAAATTTACAAC